TCAACTGGCAAGGATGTTGCCTTTGCTATCATCCTACAGCACCGTTGTAAGAAGAAAAGGAGGTGATGAGCCCCTCTGTAAACTGGTCAGGCCCAATATGAAGGAACCCCTGCAATGGGATTGCCAGGTGGCTCAGAGGCCACCCCTTCCTGCTCCCGCTATGGAGACTGGACCGGTGTGAGACAATGATTCTGGATAACAGTTTCTGCCCCAAGCACATACATTTTGCATTGGAAGGTCACTCGAAGTTCAAGGCTTGAGGGGAGGATGAAGTAGCTGATTTTTGCCCCATCCAGCCTCATCAACACTGAAGCTAACACTCCCTGACTCCCATGTCCACTTCTCAATTGGATCCAAACTCAGAAAAGATTTAGTGGCGTGAGCGACGAACTTTCCCATGACCAGAACCATTGTTCCCGTCCCATAGGCCAGCATCAACTTGCTGGGGTGCGGCTCCCTCCTGGACTCTTGGGCCCCTGGACACTGACATCATTTCATGATTCTTGGTATCTACCGGGAGGGGGTACATTGCCAGGGCCTGATAAATGTCTCGTCCATTCATTAATTCATTTGGAGGTAGAAGGGCTAGTGTTCCATGAGTTACCCCAGAAGGCTGAAGAAAGGTTGAGGAGGCGTGGATGGCTGTGCCTGGGGGACGCTGGGAGGCCAGGCCACTCAGCCCATGTAGAGCACAAGAGCCTTGGTCCACAACAGCACACTCTCCAGCCCGGTTGCCCCACTCGGGGCCAGGAGTGTCAGGGCTCCTAGGAAAGGCTGGGAGCTATCACCTTGGCCTGCTCAGGGCCATGGCACATGACAGAAACCATAGGCAATGGGCTCCTATGCCAATCATCTTGTGCTCTGCAGACAGGTGGTCTGGGGAGCCCGGGTGACAGCCTTCAAAAGAGACCATCCCAGTGCTGAGCAGCAGAAACAGAGATTATATCAATAGTGTTAATGATGTTATGACTGGATATGCATAAGCAAAGGGCCTCAGGTTGGTCTTTAGCCCCCTGAATCCCAAGACAGAATGGGACCCTGTTGATGCCTCTAGGACCCTCTTTCTGCCCATGCCCTCCTGAGACCTGTAGAGTAATTTTCAGACTCTAGACCATCTGTCCTTGGATACCTCTTTCTCTTCAGGCTGGGAAAATCGGGACACAGGAAAAGAATGGCCTAGAAGGCAAAGGTGGAAGCCGCTTCCATCTCCCACAAGCACCAGAAAACACCTGGGCTGCTTCTCCAACCTCGACACCCAACACCCACTCAGAGATTTGTACTTGCCACGCATATACATTCACAGTGACACGTTCCCATGAGGAGGCCCCTCCAGCTGCCATCCCTTATCTCTGATGTGGCCTCCGCCCGCCTTCCCCGATTCACCTGGAAGAAAAACAGCAGGGAGCTTTCCGGGGGGGGGGGGGCTGCAGACCAAGGCTCCAGCCTCACAGTACAACACTTCTCCCTCTGTCTGGTCATCAGGCCGTGGCCCACCACGTGGCTCCACGAACATTCCACAGCCCGAGTCACACAGATGGTTCTCTTTCCACGCCACCTCATCCTCCTTGAACACAGGCAGAGGGGGTCAGGGAACCCAGGGCTTATTCTGTCCCCTGCTCTGAGTGCTGGAGGCCTGAGTTCAGGGGAAGGAATGGGGATCCCAGAAATGGGAGGTGCCGGAACACCCTGAAGACCATGGGATGAGCACCCTATCCTTAGGGAATGAAGATAATAGGAACACAATAAAAATGAGTCACTAGTCAAGAAGTCCAAACTTCCAGCTATAAGATAAATAAGTCCTGGCGTGTAATGTACTGCCCAGTGCCTATATAGCTAAGATACTGTATTGTATATTTGAAAGCTGCTAAGAGAATAGCTCTTAAAAGTTCTCATCACACACACACACACACAAAAGACATCTGTAACTATGTGTGGTAAACCAGACTTCGTGTGGTGATCACTTTGCGATACATATAAATATCGAATCATTACGTTGTACCCCTGAAACCAATAAAATGTCATGTGTCAGTTATCTCTCAGTTAAAAAAATGAACCACTAATCATACCTTCTCAAACTCCTGGGGTTGTAATTATGATAAAGCCCGCAGGGAACACCTAGCCTACGAAACACAAGTCTTAAAAGTCACCCTCCTGGGCCTATGCTGCCCTCCTCTGCTGTGTTACAGAGGGAACGCTGCAGGACCGCGGCCATCCGAGATTCTGTCCCACTGCACAAGCCTCCAGGGAATCTTGGCCTCAGAGGCAAAAGAGAACTCTGGATTCCTCTTGTCCACCCTTGCCCCAGGGCAGGGGAAGGGAGAAAGGAAAGGGACCCAACAGCCACGTGAATGGATGGAGGAAAAGCTGGGTTTGCAAACAGTGCCCATGAGGGCTCCGCCCCAGGGAGGTCCAGACCTCGGGCCTGGCTCATGGCAGGGGGAGCATGTGTGGTCTGAGCTGGGGCCAAACGAATTATAGCTGAGCACCTGAGCACTGGAACAAAGTAACCCGAGCGTCGGCCGAATCAAAGGAAACCGATACTTGACATTACAAGCTGGTGTGGCCTTTTATACTGGCTGGGGAGACAACCCAGCCCGGTGTGGAGTTTCTGGCCTCCTCCTTTCTGCTCTCAGCCCTGAACTTGCCTCGAACTTGAAAGGGCTAATTAAAGCCCAAAGAAAAATCAAAAGCTTGTTATCTGGCTCCATGACTCCTAGCCCTGGCATTAGCCTGTCTTGCAAAGCTTTTGTCCCTCTGTTCTATCCAAGGCCACCATGCGGCCTTAGGACCTGCAGCTCTGCAGACTTCCATGATGAACTTTGCTTTTTGTTCTGTGGCAGGGAGCAAGGGCGGGACAAACACCTGCCCATGGGCAGCCAGGTTGATCCCTGCAGCTGATTGTACTCCCAAAAGCATCACCCGAAAAGACAGAATTTGAGCAAGTTTTCTACAGAAAAGCATCCACAGAAAAAATAGCCAACCCATCCGATCTCGAAAGAACTAGCTGTTTCATAAGCACACAGCGTAAACTTGCATTTTCGAAGCTAGGGTGTGCATGCTTGTGGGGGTATTTACTGCATGTGTGCACACACGCATGGGTGGGTGTGTGTGTGTGCGTGTGTGTGCATGCATGTGTGCAAGTGGGATTTTCCTCAAGAGGCAAGGGAGACTTCCCTCAAGTGCTGTATCTGCCGTTCTTTCCCAAAATATGTGACCTTGGGCAATTTTTTAACCTTGTTGGGCCTCAGAATGAGAGTACAAAACAGAAGGTCTCTAAGGGCCTTCCCCATGCCAGCTTCCTGATGCATCTCCCCTAAGAAGTTGTGCTTGAATGTGTAACATACATACACACAGCACAGCACCTGGCCTGTCCTTTATAGTCTGCATTTGGGAGAAGTCCATGGCCCCCAAGTTCATAAACCTGTCTCCTCAACTCTCCTGGGTGGATCAGCCACTGCCCCAAACCAATGGCTCTCAAAGACATGTCATCCATTAGGGCTCAGCAGGTACAGTGGAGTCCCCTCCACTCTCTGGCCTGGCCATGACTGTCAACTGATTGCTTCCTTCTCTGGCCCATGGTGCCCCTCCCATTTCCTCTGTGACACTAGCAGTCTCTTGGCTTCTCAGGACCTCCAAAAAGAAATAGCATCTTTTAGTTTCAGCCCAGGCACCTGGAAAACTCACCACTGGAAAACAGCCTGAGCCTAAATGTTAGGGCACCAAAGATCAACCTTGCCAAATCCCTTCCTTCTCCTTCTATATCTACCCTACCCCCAACCCCGAGTCCCAGGGCCCACAGGAATGGCCCCCAAGCTGCCTGGGTGCCAGTGGCCTCTGAGATGTGCTTGGCAAGTAGCCATACTTCATGAAGGGAAACTTAGACTTTTAAAGTCAATGAAAATACATTTTCCTAATGTGGAATTCCATCGAAGTTGGACTGGCCATCAAGAATCACATCCATGCAATTATACTTCTACCTGTGTGTGAATTCTCCTTTCTTCTCTCTAATTATGATCACAGGATAGATTTTTCTCCAACTAGATTCATGATTTTTACATGGATGATAAAAAGGAGAAAGGAGAGGGACACGGGGTATAGAAGATGAAGATGCTCATAACTGAGCTTCTAAGTCCCTGGAATCATTTTCAAGATGAACAGAAGTCCAGCCACAGCAAGCCGGGCCACAAGTGAGTTAGGCTGGGAGAGGCAGGAGGTCACGTCACGTGTTGCACCTGCGGCCGCCTAGCAAGGCCCTGGGAAGGCCTCCTAAAGCCACCCTTCATTCCCCCCGTCCCTCCGGTTTCCTTCAGCACTTCTGTCACCCAGTACTGTTCCAAGGCTGCTTGGCATGTCTCTTCCATGGAACCGGGCACACTGAAGATGCTCCAGGAATGCAGTCTTCTAAGCAAGCTCTACTTTTGCCTCTATGTTCACTGGACTCCCACCCTACTTCTGCTTTCCTTTTGCCCTTCCCTAAAGATACTCAAGGAACTAAAAATATAACACTCCTGAAGTTCTAGATCTATCCCAAATGTAGAATGCCTGGCTCCATTATTCCCACTACTGGTTTTATTCCAAGCTTCCAGGAAAGTGATTTGCAGGCACGGTCAGTACGAAGGTTGGGTACATGAGTTGTACCAGAGGACGTGATAATCTGGCCTTAACAATGCCTGGTACATATGATATCTATATAACAGAATTCCCGCTTAGTCCTAGCATTTTCTCCTATAATCACGAGCCAGTATGGAATAGAGAAAAGTGCCCAGATAGGAGATCTACCTTTCAGCTCTACCTCCAACTCTGATAAGCTCAGTGTCACAGACACAACACAACACAACACATTTGAGCTGGTGCTGATCCAAGTCCAGGGAGATCCAGAGATGGGATGTACTTGTCTCACTTGCAAAATGGGATGGGTGATTCACATCCCATGGAAGCCCCAGGCTAGGGTCCCCCTGCCATACCATGCCCTCCCAGCCCATGGACCCTTCCCGACTCACCGCGCTGCTGCAGGGAATATCCTTCACCTTGAGCCAGGCTAGGTCCAGCGTACCCTCCCCCCGATAGCAGGACTGCAGTCGCTCCTTAATGCGATCGTTGATCTGCTTCAAGATGAAGATGCACAGGGCCGACTCATCCAGGGATTTCATTTTCCGCTTTTGGCCCTTGGAGAAGACAGTGAAAAGGAGGTCATCCTCTGGACGAACTCCAAGGGTCCGGGCGAGCACAGCACCAGCTTTCGACAGGTAGGCAGCCTGCAACAGGCGGTACTCGACCCCGCTGCGCTCACAGCCAATGGGCACCTCCACATAGGAGTTGAAGGCCGTGTCCTCCTTGCAGAGCCTCACGAGCTTGGAGGTATAGACCTGTTCCTTTGTGGTGGAGCCTGGCGGAGACACCATCTCAGGCTGAAGGGTCAAAAAGTAGACAAAATTGCCGCTGCTGAAGCCATAGACATAGTAGATGTCAAAGTCGGGGATGACGGTGAAGGTGTCCGAAGGAATCTTAATCATCGAGGCCACAAACTCATCATGGAAGACATAAGCAAACATGCTGTCTGCCTCGGAGTTCTTGGTCAGCTTCCGGCTGGAGATGGTAGGGAAGTACTCTGGCTTCCCATCCACTGCAGTGGCGATGAAGAGCTTGTCGTCCAAGTTGCTGTAGGAGACGATCACTCCAAAGACGGAGCCGCTCTCGTTGACTCCCGACAGGTAGTGCTCCTTCTTGTGGAAAGGCTCGCCCAGCTTGAAGAGATCCTCAAGCCTGAGAAGCTTGCAGATGCCTTGGTACAGGCTCCCACAGGCAATGAGCCTGTTCTCTTTGTAGTCTATCAGGAGCATCTTGTTGACATTGTTGGTGGTGGTCAGGGGCTCGTTGCATGTCTGGACGATGCGTGGTGGGTAACACTTGGGGTTGTCCTCGTCCGGCCCTGTCTGGTGGGTCACCAAGACCTTCAGGTCACTGGAGAGCTTGTAGATCCGGTTGACGGCCCCCAAGTAAATGTGCCCTGTCCTCTCATCCACCACCAAGTGGTTGAAACCCTCGGCTGGCTCCCCACGGAACGTGACAAAAGACCGCTTTGGGGATGGTGGGGATGGCTGCCGGGGGAGCAGAGTGGAGGAGCCCATCCCTACCATCAGGAGATGGGAGAGAAAGCAAGTCCAGTTCCAAGGCATGGCTTTCATTTCAGGAACAGGTCCTCGCGGCACGGCAGCACTCGGCACGAGGGTTCCCTCGGAGGGCCAGGGCTCAGCAGTAGAGGCTCCCTACAGAGGAAAGCAGGGATGTGATACTGGACAACAATGGCAGTGGCTTAGTTTCACCCCACAGCTTGTGTGGCTGGACCCGAAAGCCCTCAGCACACGCTGAGACAGAGAACTGCCCTGGAGACGCTAAAGGCCAAGGGAGTCTGCCCCCACGTGTGTGGGGACAGCCAGCACTGGGTGGCAGGAGGGCAACCTCAACAATAACAATAATGGTAATAGTAATGATAATAGTGATGAGGATGATGATGAAGATGAAGAACAGCCACTGGCTACCTGATGCCTGGCTGTGGAACAGTCACTGTCCAGCACCTTCCGAGACTGTCTCATTTCTTCGGACAAACCCTTCTGTGTTGGGTATCTTCCACCTGCCCCTCTAGATCCACTCGCCCCCCTTCTCTGTGCCCAGGAGGCTGACCCGGGTGGACTGTACATGCACGGCTACCTGCCCTTGGGCCTGGTGGAGTGTCAGCAGAAGGCCGGCAGGAAGGTGGGGTGGGGTGGGGGTGGGCTGCAGGCACTGGCTGCCACCCTCACCCGCAGGGCTCAGTGGCCCTAGGCATGCCTCCCCATGCCACCTCTCTATTTCCAGGCTCTGTGAACCACCTCCTGCCCACCCCCACTTGGTCCTACAGGAGGTAACAGGGCCTCACTGTTCCTACCCCAAATAGTGCTCTGCCTCTTAAGGAGCCACACCTTGGTGAAGAGTTCCTATATTAACCTTTGCACAAATAACCAGATTTGCGTGTGTTGTCTCCTGCTGGGACCCTGGACTCCTAGTCCTCTGAAGTAAGCAGTATTGCTATCCCTACCCTACAGCTTAGGGAAGTTATACAACTTGCATAGCTTATAAGTGGTAGAGGTGGATTCAAACCCAGGTGTGCAAGTTGACAGTGGGTTCTCATCCTTCACTGCTAATCCATCTCAGTTTATCCCGGCCTGGGGCAGGTGGGAACGGACACCAGCTATGTTCATGCGCAGCAAAACAGTTCGGACAACCCTTTCTCGGGGGCTGTTGGTTACAGCCCCAGCCCTCTGGGTCTACACCTATGCTTCTCCTTTGCACCTCCCCACTGCCAAACCAATGCATGAGGCTGATCCTGGATCCCTCTGCAGCATCCTGGATCCCTCTGCAGCACAGTGGCAACCGGGGCCTCTGGGTGCGCTGCCCAGCTCTGAACTCTGATGTCATTTTAATGAGGTAGACCTTGGCTGCCTCCTACTGGAGCCTCCTCTGAGAGGTTTTCATTAAAGGGAGAGAACATTTGGCTTAAGAAGTGGTCCCGGAAATAAATAAATAACTCCCCATGGGACCCAAGAGTGCTTGGTCCTAACAATCTCATTCATTTCTATTCAAGAGGACGGCTACATAGTAGTTCCAGTGTGAGAGAAATGAGGGCAGGAATGGCCTACATCTTATTTGGGGGCATCTCAGCTTTGCCGAATTTCTCTTGTTCACCCCACGTCCTTGATAACAGGGTGGTAGGAAGAGGTAGACCACAGAGCAAGAGAACCCCCCACAGGGGGAGTGCCGGTTTCCTTGAAGGCCGAGAGAAGAAAGAAGAAAGCCAAGACTCAATGTTGTCAGCTAAAATCCCGACAGAAACCCCAAGTCCTCTAAAGGGCATATCAGAGGAAGAGGTGGTTGCGTAGCCACAGTCCAGAGCAGTCCTGCCAGCCCGGGGCCTTCATTCACTCGCCCACAAACAGACATTGGAACAGGGCATACTCAGAACATGCAAAATGCTGCGGGATCCCAGGATAGCCAAGGCAGCTGGGGCCCTCCAAGAACTTGGGGTCAGGTCGGGTAGATGCCACCAGAACCTAACTTATGCAGACAGTGAAATGCTATGTGACAGATGGTAGAATATTCCCATGAGGAATGCTGACTTCTAGCTTGGGGCAAGGGAGCAAGGAGAAGGCCGTGGGATGGCATGTGGGCCTGGCTGTGAACTAAGGGAGGACACGCAGAGCCGGAAGAAAAGGGCCTCATTGGGGAGGGGTCAGCGTCGCAAAAGCCTATCAAATGGTGTGCAACCAGGAAGAGTCTGTCTGGAGAACAAGGTCGGGTAGGAGACAGGGCTGAAAGAGAGGCCCCGAGCCTTGTCAGGACATTCCTACCCTTCCATTGATTTAGCCTCTGCAGGAGGACTGGAGTTCCGGGCTGAGGGCTGTGGGCTCTGTCGGGGCAGGGAGGCCCGCCATGCTCACTGGTGAGTCCACAGTGCCAGGCTCATGCCCAACATACAGCCGAGACTCAAGACCTGTTTTCTGCTGGGCAGGGAGAGGGGCTGGAAGCAAGGAGAAATGCCACCTGCCGTACCCGGGCTCCACGTAATAGCCTGCACACGGACCCCCTTGCCTGATCAGCACAGTCGTCCACTGGGCTCGGGGTGGTTTCACCTGCTTCTCCGGTGGGGAGACTGTAGCTCTGTATAGGGCATGGGGCTAATAAGTGGCAGAGTTGGGGTTGAAACCCAGGTCTGTATCAAACCGCAAAACGCATAGTCTTTCTAGAGACGCACAATTCTAGAGTCCAGAATATAGAGCACATGGAAGCCCTTTTTAATCCATGTAAGTCCCCAAACAGAAAAACCCCAGGACGTCACCCGGTAACACTTCCCCACCAGCTCTGTAGGAGGAAGCCAAGCCCCTGGGACCCATGGGGCATAACCTGGCAAATAATATCCATCAGGCGGGCACCACTATTCACCTCTAGAAGTGTTCATGACAGAAAGCGCCTGGCACAGGGCCTTTGGCCTGGCAAGCAGCAAGTACTTATTAAATGATAGTTGTTGTTCTTGTTGAGAAGACTGAAATGAGATGAACAGGGTTAGGATTATGATAACAAGATGGGGCCTGATGGCACCATCTCAATTGGAGTGATGATGACTCAGGATGGCTCATCCTGAACTGTCTGTGCAAATCCAAGGATCAGAGAAAAATCCAGAAGTTCTTCATCTGAAAGAGACAGTCCAGAGTAAAGATTTCCAATCTGTGATTTTAAAGACAAGGAAGTTGTGATCCAGAGAAGTTAAATGATTTGCAAAAGGTCACATAGTTAGTTGAAGGTGGGGGTGGCGTGAAGCTCAGGTCTCTGGACTCCCAGTCCAGTGCTCTTTCTACCACCTGCAGCCTGTCTTCCAACTTTGTCTGAACCCACTTCGGCACCTGCTCCCTGGCCTTTGTCTGGAGGAGCTCGCTCTTTGGGTGCCATATGCTCTGCTGGCTAACACAGCTCTCAGAACTTTGCTGCCAACAATCAAATTCCAGCAGGGCTGGTAATCCTCATTCCAGACAGGCAGGTGCCGGTCAGGGCTCAGCCACCAACTCTCTGAAGGGAACTTGCAGCAGTCCCCGTATAGGAACCTGCCAGGCACTGGGGGAAGTGTGCCTGCCACACCCCCGCCCTTACTGTAAACACTCACGGATCCACACGCCAATCAACAGTTCTCCAGTTTGCAAGAAGTAAGGCAAGGAAGCCTGCAGTTATGAATTTACTGAGCAGAAAGGTGCTGGGGTTCTTTCTGCATCTTCTATTAGACACTGAAATGAAACAAGAGTTATGCATCTCAAACACTTATCACCCTCAGCTGGGGATGGTGAAATTATTGCGCCCAGAAAGGGGGGCCCCCACAGAAAACAATAACATGTGATGGGAATAACCAGCCTCGCATTTTACACACCATGGAAGGACTGATTAGAAGACAAGCAGCAGAGAAATGGAAGAGAAAAGGAACAAGCAAGGGTGTGCGCTTCAGCTTGCCTCTGCAGGGTGTGACCCAACCAAAGCGCCCCCCCCCGCCCTGCCCCCAGCTCCAGACCCACAGGTGGGCAGAGCTGCTGGCCCCCAGCCTCCCAGGGCTGCCTGAGGCTACTCTGTCCCTGCTGGCTGGCCTGCCAGGGCGGCTCCATTCCAGGACATCTGTCCTTGTAAGGTGGTGAGCCAACCTAGGAAATCCTGCTCCCAAGTCTATGTCCTGCCCACCATGTCTTGTCCGGGTCATCAATTAGCTGGTTTAAAAGTACTGGAGGTAGCATCAGCCCATCTCTGATTCTTGAAGGCAAGTGATGTGACTGAGTCACCCCAAGATCGCCCCCAAAGGCCTCACTGAACTAGCAGAGTGGGAAAGGGGCAGAAGGCTGGAGAACTGAGAGGCTCTGAATTGAACCCAAACATACTGCACTTTTCTCCTTCTTTGAAATCAGATTTTTTTAAGATTATTTATTTATTTGACAGAGAGAGACACAGAGAGAGAGAGAACACAAGCAGGGGGAGTGGGAGAGGGAGAAGCAGGCTTCCCGCGGAGCAGGGAGCCCGATGTGGGACTCGATCCCAGGACCCCGGGATCATGACCCGAGCCGAAGGCGGACGCTTAACGACTGAGCCACCCAAGCACCCCTGAAATCAGATTTTAATTCTGAATGATGGGACTCATTTTTAGAAGCTGATCATCATTTTGATTAAAGAAATTGGGGCTTTGTTTTATGTGGCAAGTGTTGAAGAGCTCAAACTCATTTTCATGAAATAGCACCATCTTCTCAGATTCCTGAGTGGTAGAGAAGAAAGTTATTATAGACTAGTTTAAAATGGCAATTACCTCACGAAATTACTTTGGAGTTTACAAAACGTTTTCATATACATGACCTTGTTCTGATTTTATTGTTCGTGACAACCCTGTCAGGTAAAAGTATTTGTAAGTATGTCTCCTTTACAAATAAGGAAACTGAGGCATGAACAGGTACAGGTCCGGACTGAGGTAACACAAAGTCATGCTGGGACTTGGAAAGACCTTTGCTATGGGATGATAGAACATTCTGAAGACATATTCTAGGATAGTGTTTCAAAAGACCATCTCTACAACATATCATGAATCCAGAAACCAGCTGAGTGGGTCACATGTGCTTTTTTTGAAATAAAA